AAATGTCACATTTTTTTTTTTTTTTTTTTTTGCCAGTTTCATTTTGAAAAATTGACACCAGTACAAATGAAGACTGACCAAGTAATGGAAAGGCAAGTCTCTGAAGATCCACCACATCCAGTTGTCAAATACACCTACTGGGTTTTTTGTGCTGCTCCGTTCTATAAGAATATAGGCATGTTTCTGGGGAAATTGTCAGAGAGGTTTAGTGGTCTCAGATAGTCTAAAAAAGATCTTGGTGATTTGAAGTGCCCAGGGTTAAGCAAAAACATATTCCATAAAAGTAATCATTAACCAAAGTTAAGTATTATGTAATAAACTGATGGAACAATTAAAAGTTTTCTCCTCCCCTAATTATGTTTAACATCTTATAAAAGATGTAATGCAGATTTTTAAAAATATATTTTATGACCTCTGTTATATAACTTTATACTTTACAGCTGTCAGAATTAAAGATCAAAGTAAGAAGTTTCTGAAAATTTAGACATTTCAAATTAATATCTAACAATTTTCAGACACAATCTTCACAATTCACCCTTCACAAAAAAAAAAAAAAAGAAAAAAAAGCAGGCCATGAGGTAATTGCAGTATCTGAATTGACCTCCATTATAAAGAAAAAATGAAAAAAATTTACAGCTGTCAGAATTAAAGATCAAAGTAAGAAGTTTCTGAAAATTTAGACATTTCAAATTAATATCTAACAATTTTCAGACACAATCTTCACAATTCACCCTTCACAAAAAAAAAAAAAGAAAAAAAAGCAGGCCATGAGGTAATTGCAGTATCTGAATTGACCTCCATTATAAAGAAAAAATGAAAAAAATATACATTATCTGACTTGAAAAACATGGCTGCACAATGTCTGTTGAATACTAAAAAAAACCCCCAGAAATCTCTAAAATAAATTGTTTTTTAAAATTTACTATTATTATATTTTCAAATATCAGAGGCAATACTTCTTTAAATCAACGCACACTCAAATTACTTCTCTGAATACGAAATCTAAAACTACATTTCATTAAAAATATTGATGATTTTAAAAGCAAGTTGACATGTCATAATAAAGAAAGAGAGAAATTTCTTTTGTTAACTAAAAGTACACTTTACTGGTTAGCAAAAAGAAAAACTCACTGTGTATTTTTTAGCCAGATCCAAGAGAACATACTTTGAGGCTTCGGTTTTGACCTTAGTCTGGGTGAGGAAGAATAAGCTGGGCTTCTTGCTGTTGGCGCCAAGGAGAGCCTGCATGCAGTTGAAGCACGCCTCGGCCGTCATGTAGTGAAGAAAGAGGGATGACATGGGGAACAACATGGGGCAGTAGACAATGTCAGGGCTCAGGCGATTGATCACGCCAACAACCATTTTGGCAGCCTGGATGCCTTTAGGTTTCAGGAAATAGCTGTTGAGATGATCGTGGTCGACGAACATTGGGATCAGGATATCCTCGTCAGCTGGGGAAATACAGAAGTTAAGCTACAAAACATCTTTTTTTCAAAAGAACAAAAAACAAACAAACATACAAGTAAGTAACTGAAATCAGCCTATAACTAAAATAAGAATCATCTGAGACAAAGTTAAAAATGTTACGCAAAAATATATGTTCATCATTTGCACTTTTTTTTAGGCTAACTCCCTTGTTGTCTCCATTTATCGCAATACTCATATATTTGAATTATTGTTTAAATTCATCACACAGCGTTCAATTTTGAGGCCAGTCAGTAAAATGAACTTCAATCTTCCTGACAGCATCATGGACCCTTCTGTTTTTAGCTCCTCCCCTTTGGGCACAGGGTTGGGGTGGGCAGGGGCACTGACCCTTTTCAGGTGCTCAAGTGGGGTGTGGTAAAAAAGATGCTGGGAAACACTGGTCCAAGTTCACTGTAAATCTTCATGCACAACAGACTTGCATTTAAAAAAAACAACTTTTTTTTAAAAGAATAATGTGATAAGCAAGCAGTTGTACATCACCAACTTACCACCACCATCATAAAGTTCATCTGCAATTTCATTGAACAAGTTCCCTTTGAATTTCTCGAACAAATGCGAGCACAGATTCTCCCACAGGCGCCGCCTTGCGTCACTCTCGGCTGGCCACTGGGAGTTACGAAGGTAGGATTTGAGATTTCTGTTGGAGCCGCTGCGCAGCAAGACCAGCAAATGTTCTTCAGATCTCCCGCCAAAATTATCCTCTGTGCAAGGAAGAAAGAGAAGTTATTTATTAAACTAACTCTGAACGTGATGAAATATATCAACCTTTGATGAATTGTACAATGCCTTGGTTAGATGAAATATTCATAAGTGGGCGGTTATACCTATATCTTAACTATTCAGTGCAATATGTTTTGCACAGCTACAATTTTATGTAGGAATAAAGCCTAATGGTACAGAATTATATTCGTGCGAATTAACATTTATGGTCTGCAAGGTTAAAGTAAAAATACATTTTTTTTAAAGATAAGCAATTTTACGCCATTCAATTAAGACCAAAAAAAATAAATTTCCTGAATAAATCCCAAATGGTGCAGGTAATATAAAAGAGAAATACAATATACCATGTCTACAACTAACGCTGGACAAAAATGAAATTATTATTATTTTAAACATTGAGAAAAATAACTAGCCATTCAAAATACAATAAAAAATTATTTTTTTTTAAAAATGAGTATAACAACAGGCTTACCTGTTTTGGGTGCATGCTTTCCAAGGTATTCTTTAAAATTATCCACATCGACAAAATCACTAAAAGCTACACCAAGTTGTAAAGGATTATCTAGAATCCCTGTGGCTCTGGTTTTTTTATTGTCTTCAGAGGTTTGTTCGGTGCCATTGACTTTTTTCGTCCTCTCAACTTCTTTTTGTAGCCTCTTTTCCCCATTTTCTCCAGATGTTAGTGGAGAAGATGTAGAAGATCCATGGTCTGAGAGTTGAGAATATTTGCTGCACACACCTTCACCCTCTGACAGTTAAACAAAAAAAATATATAAATAATTTATGTATGATTATTAACGGGAAACTTTTTTATTTAAACTTTAAAAAATTAATAAATGAAGGTTTGACTAAAAATAAATACTTAGCTGTCTTTTTATACTATTTATTCTTTTTAAAAAATGCCAAACTTTAAAAAAAAAAATACATACATCTTTTCAATAATATATTTTCATACTAATCATTTTCCATGGAAAGTTTCAAATCTTAACCTGAATTTGAATGCTGCTTTATGCAGGTGCGTAATTTTTAAAGATCTCATAAGATTTAGAAAGTGAAAAAATAGAGCATGCTAGACTAGTGGAAGAAAACACAAATTTATTAGAAACTCACCCTCTGAAAGAATACTAGGTGAAGGGTGCTGATCAGTGTCCTCTGAAATATTGTGAAATTGAGAGTCATCCTCTGAGGAATTGTAGGATCTTGTGGGAGAAGAGAGATTTGGAGTTTCTTCATCTTTCAAAGAATGTCTAGGGTGGGAGGAATTAATCAAGCTGACAGGGCTTTCAGGGCTACTGTGTTTCCCAAGCAGAGGGGATTTTTCACTACCCTTAACAGGGGCACTGCTTTGCTTGCCGCGTAAGGATGCTGTCAAACGGTCTTTGAGAAAAGATCTGTTTCCTTGTTCAGACTTGAGAATACCATATGAAATCTTGTGCTCCTGCTTTTCTTGTAAATTTTCTATAGTGTCTTTGGTCTGAATGCTGCCGACAGCGTGAGGAAGTTCTGGTGAATCTGTCTCATCATCAAAAGGATCATCTTTTTCCTGTAATAGGTGCTCAAAAAAATCTGTGCTACTCGAGCCACGACCAAATTTTGCAGCTTTTTTGGGCAAAAATACAAATTCAATTGGTTCACTGTCTAGTTTTTCATAATTATCATCAGTTTTAAATGACACATGCCGCTCTGATTCTGTGGCATGTTCATTGTTTGATCCTTTGGCCTTGTCATCTTTCTGGTGGGATTGTAATCTGGTGTTTAAGATGTTAAAGAGGGGTGGTTTCCCTCTATTACTGGGAGCGTTTACCTCAAAACTTGATTCATTGATATGGTCACCCTTAGCATCAGGCCCTGCACCATTGGTGCCACCCAGTAATTGCTCTTTTTCACTCTCACCATGTGAGTTATCAGAGGCCCCACTCCTGACACCATTTTCTTCCATAATAGGCTCTGGTATTTCATGCTGGGGCCAGGGATCTCCTGCAAATGGGTCATTGTTACTTGGATCCTGCATTATGTTTTAACGGATTGCCATAACGCAATTTGAGTCATCTTGTCATCTGCATTACCTGCAAAGACTCACTGAGAAGGAAAATGTGTAATTGATATTAGATAAGACCTTGTTATCTAAGACAAAAGCATTGATAATACTCCAGAAGATATTTTTTTTCTGTAAAAGTCCCAAATTTTGTTAAAATTTTTTTCATTTTGTCTTTTCTAGCAATGTCTTACACCAGGTCGGCACAATAGGATAATAATATTTTAGCCAAATATCTGCACATGCAATGTTAGAAAAAACGTTTTTTTAGCTGCATTTTGTTTATAAAGTAGGCTTACTCAATGTTTATATTTTTAAATTCAATTTTAGTGGGAAAGCAAACAGAGCAAAAGTTTAAAATACTTTCTATAAAAAAAAAAAAAGAAGAAATGTTTTTCATAGTTCAAGAAAGTTTGTTCATAGTTCATAGGCATCAATGTTGATAACTGTCATAGGATCACTGCAAAAGCAAATGATAACACTAAACAAGTCACAATGCTTTTTAAATTCTTTGCGAAGTGAAAGGGTAGGGACAATTGAGCTCTGTGTAGAATTGTTTTCCCCAGGATGCAATTTGTTTTTAATGCGCATTTCTAATAAATTTAATGCTATCTCTATCCTTTTGCTGACAACATGGCATTGTCATCAGACTAAAACTTCATCGAAAAAAAATTTTGAAATAGCTAATGAATTTCTGTAATTGGGGTGAGCAGTATGTAAATAAATGCAACTGAGAATATTTGATGAGAGGTTGCGACTGCAGGGGTAGACACACATCTTTTGCTGCTCTCTGGGATACTACATTTAAGCTAAGTGTTATTTTTATTTAATTCTGTTTTTACTGTTGTTAGTTCACTGATCAAGGTTCCTTCCCAACACGTTTGTTGTTTTTTATGTTCCCTTTTTTAGTTTTTCTCATAATTTGTTGTTTCACTCATTTCCGCTTTTGCTAACCTGATTGCAGTCTCTCCACCCACCTTATTACCATTAAACACATATCTGAGGGATACAATAATTTTGCTATGTTCATCTCAAATTAAGTTTAGGCTTAAGTGAGGAAGAAAGCATTGTTATATTACCCCTAACTAGGCTTATCTGAGGGAACTTCTATCAGGGAAGGGGGTGAGACAGATGGTCTTCGGCGGAGCTTGCTGTTTTGAGGGATAAAATAAAGTTGCTATATCTATCCCAAATTACGCTTAGTATTTAGGCTATGTTCAACCTGAACTGGGTCAATCTGAGGAAGGAACATTTCACTCTACCCATTTACATTGTGTATTCTGCTTGAGCTTTAAAAAAATGTCAAAGTAAAGAATTCGGGAATCCTTCCAAACGCTGGTTCCCAATTCAAACACCAGTTAAATGCATCGAATTGCCAGTTACTTTGGAAGTTGAATCATTTTTTGCCAAGTGCATGTAAAAGGCATGTTCTAATGTGAAGTATCCTGGAAACAGGCCAATTAACACACAATTTTCAATGGTATATACTGGGACTAGTAATTTGAATTAGGGACCGGCGTTAGGATAATCAAGATATTTGGCCTTTTTCTTTGTTAGAGTTAGAGCTTACTTTAGACTTGGTTCACTTAGCCTTGCAGCAGTTTTGAACTTTCAGGGGTGCAGCGGCTTGTTACTCCTCAGACTCCTGCCCTGTTCGACTGTTATGTCTAAATGCGTCCTTCAGCAATTTGGAGTTTAAAGAATTTTGGCCTTACTCACACTCCTTTAATTTTCACTGACCATAGGCTTGGTACTTAATTATCACCCGGAATCACCGTTGCCGTCAGCTCAGTCTTACTATTATTTATATATTATTTATTATTATTAGATTAAGCTCATGGTGTACAAGAACTTTATAATAGAGATACGAAAAAAAAGAGAAATCAAATTGATTTTTTTACAATTACTATGCCCATTTCTGCAATAAATAAACAATAGGAGTCGATGATCTTCGTTTTCCTTGAAAACTCACTTAGAAGTCTTTCTCCATATATCAATACTGACAATAGTAATATAGTTTACCCAGTATATGTATACAGATTACTATGTAGTTATAGCAGTATAAAAGAACGAACAGCAGAGCTCCAGATGCAAAAACAATTTTCAAAAAGTTTATTTTTTTAAAAAATTACTTTTATGAGGGAACGAGTGATCTAATTGATTTTATTTAATTTTAATGATAAAATTTAATAAATCTGAAATATTAAATAAATTATGAAGTCAATTCAACTCAAATGAAAAATAAATGGAGGGAATAATAAATTTATTGCAGAAATATTTTTAATATTTGCAATATACTACTTGGCATTACTAGATGTTTCAGCATCATGCGCTTAGGTCACATTATGAGAATTGATCCAAATGAGAATAACCCCCATTGAAATTCGAAATTTATGTTGTCACGAGTTGTAAAAAAATAACTATAACATTTTTCAATAAATAAAGAAGTATGAATGATAAAACACCTGAAATAAGACCCCTAAAGATGCAAATAGAATGACTTAGAATTTACTGTAAATGAGTCGGTGATATTCTTATATATATTCTCAATTCATTATATAGGGCCTATATAATATATATATATATATATTAAAAAAGTAAAAAAGGCCAACTTAATTTTAATCGTAGTCCGTAGGTGATTTGAATATGAGGAAGCCTATAGCAGTAGGCCTTTGTGTTAAACTATTATATTTATATCATGGCACTATGACAGGCTATTTCACTAATAATATAGACATTTAAATGATAATATTATGCTCCCCCCCCCACCCCCCCACACACACAAGATGGTTACATTTCTTCTTTATTTTGAGGGCCCACGATCAATAAATTTATCATTCTGGCTTCTATCGCCTTCCAAAAATTAACAACAACCCAAATATAAAATAGAATTAAAATATAATAAATTCCGATTTGGGAAACGTAGCTCAGAATATACAACATGCGTGTCGGATTTACACTTGAATTGGAGATAACGTAAGCAGTGCAAATCCTTGAGAACCCTTGTCCTTTTTTAAAAAAAATAATCAACAAAAAATTAAATTAACTTTGTGAAAACACTTAATATGAAAAAAAAAAGGGAAATAGAACTATACAAAGCTCAGAGGAAAACCCGAAAAGTTACAATACAACAAAAAAAAAAAATTAAAAAAAAATAAAGGGCAGTTTTTTGTTGTTATGTCCTGGGTGTGTTTTTTATGCGCTTCTTTACTGTCAAAGGCTTTTACTTTTTCGGAGAAACTTCCGTTTTTGTGTGTGTGTCTTGTCCTTTTTCGGGTTTGCCTCTACCCTTTGTAAGCATAAATTACTTATTGATTCAAACTGAACGCAGTCCTCCCAGCATTTCTCTAACATGAAAAATGCAATTTACTTTGATATGAATGCAAATTACCTTGATATATGAATGCAATTTACTTTGATATAAATGCAAACTTCTTTGATATGAATGCAATATACTTTGATATGAATGCAATATACTTTGATATGAATGCAATATACTTTGATATGAATGCAATATACTTTGATATGAATGCAATATACTTTGATATGAATGCAAGTTACTTTGATATGAATGCAATTTATTTTGATATGAATGCAATTTACTTTGATATGAATCCAATTTAGTTTGATATGAATGAAATTTACTTTGAAATGAGCAATTTATTTTGATATGAATCAAACATTCAGCTAAGCGTTTATTTTAATACGTCATTGAAGGGAGAGAAGTAGCTGTAGGATTTTATTTCTTCCTCAAAGTGGAAACAAGATGATGACTCCAGTTCTTATGTCCGGATTGTAATTTGCTCAAGGCCACAATATTGCTGCAGAAATGTCTGGAAAATTTATCCCCACCCCCCACCAAACAAAAACAAAAAAAAACAACAACAACAACAAACAAACAAAAGAAAAAAAAAAAAAAAAAAAAAAAAAAAAAAAAACAAAAAAAAAAAAAAAAAAAAAAAAAAAAAAAAAAAAAAAAAAAAAAAAAAAAAAAAAAAAAAAAAAACCAAAAAAAAACACAAAAAAAAAAAAAAAAAAAAAAAAAAAAAACCAACAACAAACACACAAAAGAAAAAAAAACAAAACAAAAAAAACAACAACAAACAAACAAAAGAAAAAAAAACAAAACAAAAAACAAACAACAACCAATTTTACCAGGACAAGAAAGATCAAGAAAGCTATTTTTAACGGATGTGTGTTCCATTCGCGTAACTGGTGTGTTCAACATTGCGATGGTGAAATGAAGATTTGGTAATCTTGAGATAAAGTGGTGCTTGGTGCTTTCACTAATTGATTATTTTGTTTATTGTCCCATTTGAATGCCTGCGCTAATTATGTAAAAACAACAACAACAACAAAAAAAAAACAACAAAAAAAAACAAACAAAACCGGGGAGATTATCGTGCTACAGTAAAGGGCGAGACAATATGACAATTGACAAAGCCAAGACTATTCAACTCAGTTCTTTTGAAACCCATAGATGAATGTGACTTTACAGAATCTCTCCCAATTCTCTGAATTGTATCACAGTTCTCTTAATTCTCTCCCAACTCTCTGAATTATTTTTTTTTTTAAATTATCCATCAAAGCTTTCTTAAAAGGGCAATATGTGATAAGGTCAGGTGGGCCAGCCTTTCTGTCGGTCTTTTGTCTTCTTGGCTCTGGTCTTTGGGGTAGTACCTCAAGTCTCAAATGTGACCGTTATCTCCTGATGCAAATGAGATTGCAATCTACTGATACAAATGTGACTGCTATTTACTGATACAGATGTGACTGTAATCTACTGATACAGATGTGACTGTAATCTACTGATCCAAAGGGGTCATCCATAAAAGACGTCCACACAAAAGGGGTGGGGGGGGGGAGGTTCAGCAAAAATTGTAATAAAGTGGACAAAGGGGGAGAGGGGGTTAGGACAAAGTGGATGTCCACATTGTGGTGTTTTTTTTTAGTGCAGCAGTTTTGCATAAATTTACTGCACATAAAAGGGGTCATCCATAAAAGACGTACACACAAAAGGGGTGGGGGGGGGAGGTTCAGCAAAAATTGTAATAAAGTGGACAAAGGGGGAGAGGGGTTTAGGACAAAGTGGATGTCCACATTGTGGTGTTTTTTTTGAGTGCAGCAGTTTTGCATAAATTTACTGCACATTTACTGCCCGATCACAGTTACAGTAGTATGCCTATTTTTCTCTATTGTCCATCGGTGGCTGGGAGAATTTTCAAGATAATATGTTTCTGCGGTAAATATTTCGCATCACAGGCGGCAAAAGAAAAAAAAACATAAGGTCGTCCATTGCAATATTCCTGCTAGTGAACATAATATGGCAGACGAATCAGACGAAGAGACTGCCACTCAAATTAAATTTAGCAATTGAAGACTCCAGAACAGATGTTGTCATTATACGAAACATGTTTGCATGGCTGCAGTCCGAATTTTCCGTTGATTGAAGAATGGTGGATTATTTGTTTATTACATTTTAAATACAGTGATTCAATAAAATGTTTTTGAACAGTTATTATTTCATTTAGAATTTTGCCTTCAAATAATTGGAATTTCTAAAAAATATCTTTGTAAATACATACTCTTTATATTGTTGTGCATTTTCCCAAAATATTCATTAATTTAAGTTCGGTAAATTTTATGTTTTAGACGTCCACAACTTAGGGGGGGGGGGGGGGGGTCAAGTCAAAAAAAGTGGACAAAAGTGGACAAAGGGGAGGGGGTGGGGTAAAAAACAGCAAAAAATTGTTGGACGTCTTTTATGGATGGCCCCAAAGGTGACTGTAATCGACTGCATTCGCCTTTGTGTTGACTCCAGTGATTCGCCCTTTTAGTCATTACAAAACACATTCACGCCCTGTTTGCCATAATCCACGTAACCTTTGACCCGAACACGCGGATGGAATCGTCAATTAAATGTATTATAATCTCTAACAACATTTAGTTGTCAAAATTTGCGATTAAAAAAAATATGTAATTATGGCTTAAGAGGATTTACGTTTAATTGATCTATCTTCCGATAACGTTTGTAGAGCTTAACTAAAAAAAAAATAATAATTCTTTCACCCCTCCACACACACAACCTTAAATCTAATGACCCATAACATCTCCTAATTAGTGATGGGTAATTAGAAAAAAGTAGGATTTCCGATGAACTGACGGTCGTTAAGCCCAGCCTTCGGCATTGTCGTGCGCATCTCTCTCACGCGTTGTTTCGATGGGGGCGCTACGTACCAATGAGCCGATGGGATGAGCCGAAAGAGGAAGTGGGTCCATTACATCGGCCAGGAAAAGTGACACGAGATTGATGTTAATAGAACTGCGACGGGCGGAACCGTCAGAAGTAGGTGACCCACCAAGGGAGTTTTAAAATGATTTATTTAGTAAATGGCAAGTTTTTAGGTATGAAATAATTAATCATAAGACCCACAACCCCCCCCCCCCCACCAAAAACAACAAACAAATAAGCAAATAACCTAACGGGCCGGTACGTACGAACCGGACGATGATTTCGGTTAGACGCTTGGGATTGGGTCAAAGGCAAAAAAACTTTTGTATATAAGGATGGCTACAGAATGGTCAATCACTATCTAGTCGACTTCACTTGGCTGTCCACTTAACTGTAGTAAGTATAATTTAGAATGACAAAATGGTAAAAAAAAGAAAAAAAAAAAAAAAAAAAAAAAAAAAAAAAAAGAAAAAAAAAAAAAAAAAAAAAAAAAAAAAAAAAAAATAATGAAAAAAAAAATAAATAAAAACTATCTTTAGTTTATTAAATTTCTTTTAAAGCCAGGAACCCATTAAACTTACAAACTATTCAGACACAAGATTATTATACCGCATAACTTGAATGTAATATTTAATTACTTCTTTTTTTTTTGGTCGCAACCCTTTAAATAAATTTTTTGAGAACTTAATTAAGTAGGCGTCCCAAAGTATAGGAGGAAACAAAAAAAAAAGCTTCTGTACTTTTAAAAAAAATAAAAATAATAATAAAAAGCTGTAACAAAAATCTTCGCTGTAAAAAAAGGGTAGCTCTTAACTTTTACGCTGGCAAAAGCTTTTTATCCCGAAGAATGGGGCAGCCTTGGCAATATTTCTAGAGATGGTGGAAGATTTCCAGATTGCAAATAATTTCTCTCCCCCTCCCCCCCCCCCACTTTTCCCCATTTATCCATGGTACAAAGGTTTTGACTGAATAAATATTTATTTGTTTCCCACTTTTATATGCCCCCCCCACTCTTTTTTTCGTTCGCTGCCTCCTTGTTTAAGGCAAAGCTCCGCCGAATAGATTCTTGCAAATTGTATTAATAATCGCATCATTACATAAACGCAAAAGATAGACGCACATAAAAAATAATCTAAATTGAACAAAAGATCTTTGGTTTCCCCAGAATGATAAAACACTTTTGAAACTAAATTTAGTCTGGATGATACATCCGCAATAATATTAGACTGTTATTTTCATGAATTTTTACATTGTCTACCATTAAAAAAATATATATATATTGCCAGGAGGCATAAAGTAAAGGTAGTCAGGTCCACCATTTTTTAAATTATTTTTTCTTCTTATGAAGAAAAATTAAGAAATAATCTCTGGTGTAAGACAAATAAGCATCCATAAAAAGGAAAGGTTATAAAATCAACGAGATATCGATGACGGTGAAAGGAAAAGAAAGAAAACATCTCTGCCTGCATTTTCTATGGGCTCAGCTTTGTCACAAAACAATAAAAAATATTTTAAAAAATTGGAGTCGCAAATTTCCTGAGTAGGGTGAATGATTTTTCCTCAATTCTTTCGTTTTAATTTGATCTTAAAATGATATGTTTATAAAATTTTTCCGTACTTACAGATTGAACGTAAAAATGGCAGCAAATTTAAAAATGGTTCTTATTGCCTGTATCATCGGTTGCTCTTTGGTCCAGTTCGGCAACGGTGATGGCCTTGGATACGGCGGCGGTCTTGGAGGTGGCCTAGGATACGGTGGTGGTCTTGGATACGGCGGTGGTCTTGGTGGGGGCATCGGCGGCGGTCTTGGATACGGCGGCGGTCTAGGATACGGCGGCGGTCTTGGAGGTGGCATCGGCGGTGGTCTTGGATACGGCGGCGGTCTAGGATACGGCGGTGGTCTTGGATACGGTGGTGGTCTTGGAGGCGGTCTAGGCGGCGGTTTTGGAATCGGCGGCGGTCTAGGATACGGCGGCGGTCTTGGAGGTGGCATCGGCGGTGGTCTTGGATACGGCGGCGGTCTAGGATACGGCGGTGGTCTTGGATACGGTGGTGGTCTTGGAGGCGGTCTAGGATACGGCGGCGGTCTTGGATACGGCGGCGGTCTTGGATACGGTGGTGGCCTTGGAGGTGGCATTGGCGGTGGTCTTGGAGGTGGCATTGGCGGTGGTCTTGGGTACGGCGGTGGCCTTGGACTCGGAGGCGGTCTCGGATATGGAGCCGGTTATGGTGCTGGTTATGGTGGTGCCGGAGGATTCGGACAAGGAGGTTACGGAGGAGGCTACAACGGCTACGGCGCCGGAGGCTATGGTGCCGGAGGTTATGGAAACGGTCAGTACGGTGGTGGTGCTGCTGGTGCCGGCGCTAAAGGATCATCTTCATCCTCGTACGTCTCATCCTCAAGCAACTCTGACTTCAAAGCCGGAGCCGGTAATGCTGCCGGTGGTTACGCCGGAGGTGCTGGAGGTTATGGTGGTGCTGGAGGCTACGGCGGCGCTTCAGGCTACGGAGGAGCAGGCTATGGCGGTGGCTACGGTGCCGGTGGCGGCTATGGTGCCGGTTATGGTGCCGGACTTGGAGTCTACGGGCGTTAAACTCATACTAGCATGCCATAAATCGAAACAACACCATGTGGTTTGTTGTGATATAAACCATCATGGCTGCATGGACACAGTGAAGTCGAATGGATAGTAATTTTCTTTTATAATGATCATACTGTCACTTGATCAATAAAAGAATAATTGTTCAATTTACTTAAATTTGTTTCCTTGTCTTTTATTCTGAGTCTGTCTCGATTTAGTTTAATATTAATTGATATTAATTTTTTTTTAAAGTACATAAATCGATCAAAATAAAATACAAAAAGAAAAAGAAAGAAAGAAACGAAAAAAAAATTAAAAAAAAACAAAACAAAAAAATGATCACACAAAAGAGCACCAATGACAACCAAAGGATTTATTCCTTGGTCAATCGAAAATCTAAACCTTTCGAGTTAAGGGAAAAAGTTACTCTACTTTATTCCAGCATTCCTCTGAGCAGAATTATGACGATTTAAAGGTGGCCAATTTTGGCAGAATTTTCAAATATTTGTCATCAAACGATTAATTTTAGGTTTCCACTTGCATGAAAATTACATGATCATTTGAATTATTTGCTACAATATTAGTTACATTATCAGTTCAACAAACATTGGTTACAATATAAATTACATAGTTTTAACCAGAAAATCTGAGAACAGCAAATTTGAAATTGGATTTTTAAAAAAAATATGTTTTAGGCAGGTAATATTACAGTAATTTGAATTGGCTGACAATCCCGTTTTTTTTTTTTTTTTGTTGTAAATTACCTTCTTATTTTTGGATTCTGTTCTGTCTTTACAAAAGACTAACGGTGATGAAAATAAATAATATTTAGTTATAAGTAAAGGAGTTTAAATAGCGCGCGATGTCTTTCTTGGTTATAAAAAAATCTTGATTTCAGCATCGCCAAAAAATGGTTCGCTATGCAAAGCAAGTATAATCAACTAAGCTGAAGTAACTTTACTCGGAAGATAACAACGTATATTTTCGAAATTGCATATTCAAGCGAAACAATAATAATAACAACAACAAAACAAAACAATTTGTAGCACTTAAGAATGAATACTTGAGCGCTATTGATCACTTTAAAAAAAAAAAAATGACAAAATAAGTAGAAGAAACATAATGTTGCCGAAATGGGTTGTCTTCTCACTACATAACACATTTGTTGCTGCTACTATGAGGAAGTTGAGCAAGTTGTGACTGTTTATTACATTTTCTGTATCAAACTATTATATAGGATTCATTCTGTTTGAATACAAATTCCCTTTAGTTTGAATGTCAGGCCGTTCAAACGACTGAGGGGGAAAAAAAAAGGTATGTTTTTTAAAAAAAAGTTATGAAAGGAATTTTGGTCATGAAGTCGGGTCTTAAGAAAGCAAACGGGGCAAGCCAGAGAAATTGCAAGTCGTCAAGTCGAGTCTTCAGTTCCTGGGAAGCTAGTGGTTAATGGTCAGGATCGGTATGGGACTTAGTGGGTGTTGTCAGGATAAGGTATATGGGAAGCTAGTGGGTGTGGGACGTGGTAGATGCGGTTGCAATTTTGAGAGGGAAAGCAACTCTGAATAACTGTTGAAGAACATGCAACTGATGCATGCTATGGCTGTGACGCTAGCCGAAATCTATAGAAAAGAAAATAGGGCGGAAATTGTCAAAAAGAAAAGATACGTTACATTCAGTGGCTTATCAAGACACTTTGCCGCACGGGGTGGACCTTGACTTTGGCGCCCCATTCCTTTTTACGTGAAAATATTTGTAATGCTTTTCGGTACAATGAAAACTTTAAATAACGAACCTTGAAACAGCGCTGTTCCCTAGAATTTGCGATAACTGACCCTCGGCAAGGGATGCCTTTAAAAAAATAAAACAACTTTATAAACATGTTAAGTCCGGCACTTTTGCTTCGGTATCAAGGGTTAGACTTATTTTTAGGTTCAACTGTTTATAGAAAAGTGCCGGAACGCCAATTTGATTGACAGGAGGAGACACGGAATTTACTGGTGTCTAAGGCTCTTGGGCCAAGGGGAAGGAGTGGTCTGGGGGAGGGGCTCATTTAACCTCTCAAACGAATATCATTTTTTGAAAAATAAATTCAAATAAAAGAGTTCATTTTGGCGCATACCGGAATTCAGCTTTGCATAATTGTAAACGTATTCGAAGCACATCAGAAGAAATGTTTTTACATTTAGGTGTACTTTTTAGATGGTTTATCTAATTCCTTAATTTTTTTTTAGATGTTACTTAATGGTAATTTAGTTTGATTATATTTTCAAAAGCTATTTAAAACTATTAAACTATGAAGTTTGTTAAAAGCTTCTAAACATTCCAATGAATTTTTGAAAAGGATAACACTACAACTTACCAGTGCTTAACATCACAGTAGCATTTAATATATGATAAATACACACTGCTCTCTCGGTGTGTCGAGTTACTTTTGGCGCTAAAAAAACGCAAACTTTTATGTTAGGACCATAGCTGAATGACTATAGAAGCGGTCTCTAGCTTATATATATTATATCTATAAATGAATGGCAAACATTGAATGGTATTTCTTTCTCCCATTTATTTTTAGCAATGTTTATTTTTGTCATCTTTATTATTTTCACCGTACTAAATGTTGAATCCTTCCTTTAGATAACTGGGCTTAAAAGTTCCCAACACTTAAAACTTCATACAATGAAATTATCACTGTTTTAGAACAAAGCACAGACATCAGTATGTTTGTCCTATGTTGACTGTGCCCATCGGCTCATAGGCATTAATCTGACGCTTCATCATCATACCAAGGAAAATTTTACAATGTAAAAACAGGATGATTTTTCAGTAATATTTGAAAGGATGGATTTACTATCAGACCAAACGAAAAGCCATTTATTTCCAGAAACAAATGCCAGAAGTGTGACACCCCAAAAAAAACAACAACCTATTAAACAAAAATTATTGAAACTATACATTTATGAAAGCGATTTTTTGAATGCGACTAATAGTGAGTAACTATACGGCTGATTTTAACATACATCTTTCACAAATGCCGCCGTGGACTGGACATCAATCGAGAGCTTCGAGGCTGCCCTGGCATCTGCTAGGAGCCGTTAGAATAGCAGCATCTCTTCCCCCAACCGCTGCACATATGCCAGTTCATGGATTCAGCGACGTACCCTACCAGAACCATAACAGAACTTAATCTTCTTCTATATATCAAGGGCCAACGTTCAATGTATCGATCATTCTGGCTCCTACGTATGTAGCGGGATTTGCAATGTCTTTATAATAATGTCTTCTTTTCGTGGGTTATATTTCTCTTTTAAAAACAAAAACAAGAAAAAAAAAACAAGAAAAAAAAACAAAAAAAAAACTAACTCTTTATATATTTTTAAATGAATTGGTTTGCGCCAAGGCAGGCTATAGTATACTTTTTGTGTTTGTTGTTTTCGTGCTCCGGAATATTATTGCAGCTCTCACGTGGGCCAGCACAGGGCTTGTCATTTCACGTCTGCCCCACGTCATCAAATGAAAATATCTCTGAAATTCCGTCACTTGATTGACAGATTGTTTTGTTCCTTCATCTCCCAACCCTAACTCCTTATTTCTAATTAATTGGGTCAAAAAAGAAAATCTAAGTGCAATGATTAGAAATAAGACATTGTTTTTGTTTTTTTTTAGAGTTCCAGTATGTCATAACAGTAAGCAACTGTTGATTATAAAATAGAATAAAATGCCAAACGTAATTTTAGTCCCTAAAACCTTTTACTTTTCGTTACACTAGGCCGAAAATGCAAACCCCTAATAAGGAGGAAAAAAAAAGGGCAGTCAGGAACTCTTTCACACCCCCCCCCACCTCCCCACATTTATTACGCCACTTATTACAAAAGAAGGACTAAACATTTCATTAATCACAAAGACAATATATATATATATATATATATATATATATATATATATATATATATATA